CGTAAGATTCAATTACATTTAAATTATATTTGATTTTCTTTTGAATTAAAGATTTTGTTTTTAATTTATTAAGCTTATGTTTCAGCATTAAACTGTCTATTCATGTCACCGCGGCCAACTTGTTAACCCACACGTCTGCAAGTAATGTCTGTATTTGTCAACATCCAGAGGATTTACCGTGAAAGCAAACGGGGTGCTGAAAGCGCTCGTGGCCTGCCGAAACATATCTATCCCCGTCGGTCTAAACGAGGGAAGCGCCGCGTTGGGCATTGACATCTGTACACTGGCCGGAGATAAGTCGGCCGCCCTGAAGCAGGTCAGAGCTGTCGGCGTTTCGAAATTCACTTTGTTCTCCGATGATGACTTACCGATAATGCTGTCAATTGAGAATCCGTTCTTAGCCGAAGAACTAGGTGGCTTAATATCCACTACACTGCCTCCCCCTCCGCTCCCTGTACTTCCCCCATTAGTAGCCCCACCGCCGCCGCCGCCGCCTCCACCGCCGCTGCCGGCGACGGCGGCTGCCGCCGCTGCGGCGTTTTTGGCTGCATTGATTAGGCTTGCCTGGCTCGGAGACGACATCCCCAAAGAGACGGGCAAAAGGGCCGGAGTCCGAGTGGCTTCACTGTGGGCAAATAGAGGGATATGAGGACTAACGTGTGATGCGTGGTACGGTAGCCCCATGATCGGGTACGGTTGAAATCGGTGATGCGGGTAGAACGGGTCCCCTCCTGACATAAATGCCGCCGGTTGTTGGACGTCCGGTGTCTGTCGCTTGTAACGTTTTCTTCGGCGGAGGAAGCTGCCATTGTCAAACATGTCTTCTGAAGCCGGATCCAGGGTCCAGTAATTACCTTTACCTGGATTACCCGGCTCTCGGGGAATTTTTACGAAGCAATCGTTCAAAGACAGATTGTGTCGGATACTGTTTTGCCAGGCGGGAAACTTCTCCCGATAATATTGGAACCTATTTATAATAAAATCACAGATGGCTGACAGCGTGAGCCTTTTGCGGGGAGACTGCAGGATCGCCATGGTGATCAGGGCGATATACGAATACGGAGGTTTCACGAGATTCGAACCTTTCGTCGTCGAAGGCGGTGGAGAAGGGGTTTTAGACGAACGCCTCTCGTTCAAGTCGTCCTCATTGTCCATGTCGTCTATATCGTCGTGGAGGACTTTGCCCAGTTTTTCTTTCTGGACAGCGTTCGGTACCCCACCGTCTTCGGCGAGCGTGGTCGCTGCCGAGAGATCCCCGTTGCTACCGACCCCGGGTAGGTCCGCTGTCGCCGGTGAATCAATATCCGAAGACACGAGCTTCAAGTCGGGAGTCGGACAGAAGCCGTCAACATCTATGGGGTCGTCAGCATCGTCATTATCTAGATTGTCAACCTCCGACGTTGACAAATTTCGCGGTGGAGAAGAAGGTGAAGGTGTCGTAGTTCTTTCCACAGGACAATCCTTGTTATTATTGCTATTTTTGTTGTTATTTTTACTATGGAAATGACTGTGATGTCGATTGTGATGATTATGATGAGTATTATTATTATTATTGGTGGTGGTGGTGACGTTATGATGTTGTTGTTGTTGTTGATGAAGATGCTGATGATGGTGGTGTTGTTGAAGATCGGCAGGCGACATTCGGTCATCCGTACCGTGGAGCATGCCAGTCGGACTGAAACTAGTGATCCGCGCAGGCATGGACATTCTCAGCGCCGGTTCGCGGGGTCCGACATGCATGATGTTTGGAAAGGCCTGGTGCTTGTCGGGCACATCATCTGCTGTCTCCTTCGGTAAAATCGACTTCATATCGAACCTCATGATACACGAAAACATTAATTCTAAAGAAAGAACAATGTGAAAATGTCCAACGGGAAAATAATTGGCTCAATAAAGACGTTAAATTTTTCTTTTGTTTTTCTTCTTTTTTTTTTTCTTTTTTTTTTGTCAAAAAATCAAGAAAACAGACGACATTGAAAATATGTCGTGCCAGGGGTTTTAAAAATCCCAAACAAAACAAGCTGCTTATTGGCAGTGAAATGTTGTTGACTATATCGTGGTAGTGGTGGTGGTAGTTATGAAGAGTTTGGTTAGTCTGTTGGTAAAGGATGGGAGAATTGTTGAGTTGATAGTCGCCGTTGTTTATTTTAATGTTGTTGTTTATCGGTACTTTTACTTGCTGAAAAAAAATTACATACGAGAATGTGCATTTTTTATATATACGTTTGACATTTTCTGGGTATGCGTTGTGTGTTTGCGTCGTTCCATCTGTGTTTTAGAACTTGTTTAGTCGAACATCTGATGTTTTGTTTTTCTTACATGTGTAAATATATATGTATATACATATATATACATTTATTTATTTAATATTATTTTTAATTTGTTTAACTTCCCACCATGTTCTTTGTTGATCTTGCTATGATATTATTCCGATTGTTTTTTAAAGTATTTTAATATTTGCCTACTTTGATTTACTTTTTTATTTTCAGTTTTTACGAAACACTTTTTAGATATATCCAGATTGTAAAGCTATTCCATTTATTTATTCCCTTTTTCTTTTTACAATATTTTCGACAAATAATCTTTTAAGAAAATACTTTTTACTGTAAGGAAAGAAAATTATTGCTGACAAGTTTACAAGCCAGAAAAATATGGAGGATTTAAAAACAATCAATAGAGATCTTTTTTCTGTAATTTACCTGTTGTCTAAATACGAAAAGAATTAAATATATATTTATATAGATATATATTTTTTACAGGTAAAGTTGAATAAAACTGTTAATATTATTATTTTAATGCTAATTTATTTTGATGGGTGTCGTTAAGTGAAGATTATAACCTTAATAGCGACAAATCTGAATGCTACAAGACGGTTTTGTAAATAAATTCCGGTTTTTACTTTGTTTATACTGTTGGTGTGTTTTTTTTTGTTTGTTTTTTTTTTTTGTTTTGTTTTGTTTTGCGTGCCTGTTTATTTGTGTCAATTTTTTTTTTTCAGCTGTTCATTTGCAAAAAACGTGGGGAAAGGGATATTCCAACCAACGATATTGAGCGTTTTATTTTGTCTTTTTCCTTCCTGGATATTTCACGCCTTCTTTGCAAAGCATCTCTTGACGCAAATATAAACGCGATAATTTTGCTTATATACATATATACTCATATATAACGAACATAGGATTTAAGGCTTGTGTGCACAATGCATGTACTTACGATACATATTTCACCTATTTCTGTCATTCGGTAAAGAAAATCCAACTCAGGCATAACGGTGGATGAAATTTGTGCATCATATAAATATATAAATCCTTAGATATATATTTATATATATATATAAGATTTTTTTTCTCTTTGGATACGAATGTAAAATTAGCAAGTTTGTGTATATCCTTGATTCCTTGTTTATCTTTTCTTTTTTTTTTTTCTTTTTTTGGACGTTTTCTCTTTCTTGCTGAGTGTGAATGCTTTGCGCCTTGTCGAGTTTTGAGGATGATTGTATCTTGGCTAAAGAATGTTTTCAAAAAAACTATAGCGCGTGGGTGTCAAAAAAAGAAACTTGCAGATAGGAGCTTGATATATAGCTGACTTCGTCAGATAGGATCCATGTCTCTAGTGGTGGTTGTTGTCTTGGGAGTCGCTTGTAGTTTACCCGCTTCAAGTTTCGGTGGGAGGAGACATTATAATCAGTTAAACACGGTGTAGTAGTGGTCGAGGTGGTAATAGAAGCACTTCTTGTGGTAGGGGTCGCAGTTGTCACGCTAGAAGTGGTGGCGTTGGTGTTGTTGAAAGTACAAGTACAAGTAGTAGTAGTAGTAGTAGTAGTAGTAGTTATGATTGTTGTTATAATGACTGATGGTATGAGATAGAGGTTTCACACGTTCGAAAAAATGCACCCACGTCACGCGTACTCTCGTAGAGAGAAACGGGAAGCCAAAGTTGAAAGTTAGAGAGAGAAGGACAAAACATCGAAACAACACGGCAACGACTCTGCAAGCGGGAAGAAATTGAAGAGGAAACATCGAGGCATCATCATCATTAAACAAAAACAACAACAACAACAACAACAAAAGGTAAGAAAAAGAAATGAAAGAGAAAGAAAGAAAGAAAGAATGAAAGGAAGAGAGCAATGTCTGTAGAAAGAAACAACCTAACTAGACGTGAACGAAAAGTCGCCTGTGAGAATGATTTGACCCATTCACAGGCTAACACATCAATAAGACTCTTGTCCGTCACGTGGGATGAGGGAGCTCATCATTGGAGTCTACTTTGAACCAATCGCAGCGTGCCGATCGGTCTGTCTTTGGCCACGCCCCTAAGTTTTTAATTATAGAATCGTTCAAAAAGTGGTGGGAGCACTTTCGATGAGATAAAGCAAAAAGAGTAATTTGTGTGTATGTAAGTGTGAAATAATGATTGTCGACTTGTTTTGGTGGATTGTAATTGTGTGAGTAAAGTATACTGGAGTGGTATGGGTTAGAAGAGAGGGAAGACGAGGTGAACTGTATGAAATATGAGGCCCACTAAAAACTAAAATAGGGGGTGTATAGGTATAAATGTCTTAGAGTAAATATAAAAGCCAAAGTTTCGAGAAAGAGAATAAATGCAAAAAAGAAAGAGTGAGACTAAAAGTGAATGCAAGAAGAAGAAAAAGAGAGACTAAAAATGGATGCAAGAAAAAGAGAGAGAAAAATGAATACAAAATGAAAAGAGGAAACTAAAAGTCAATGCAATAAGAAATGAATACAAGAAAGAGAGACTAATATGAAAGCGAGAAGATGAAAAAGAGAGACTAAAAATGAATGCAAAAAGAAGAAAAAGGGAAACTAAAAATGAATGCAAAAAGAGGAAAGAGAGAGAGTAAAAATGAATGCAAAAAGAAGAAAAAGAGAGACTGAAAATGAATGCAAAAAGATGAAAAGAGAGACTAAAAATGAATGCAAAAAGAAGAAAAAGAGAGACTAAAAATGAATGCAAAAAGAAGAAAAAGAGAGACTAAAAATGAATGCAAAAAGAAGATGAAAAAGAGAGACTAAAAATGAATGCAAAAAGAAGAAAAAGAGAGACTAAAAATGGATGCAAAAAGAAGAAGAAAAAGAGAGACTAAAAAGGAATGCAAAAAGAAGAAGAAAAAGAGAGACTAAAAAGGAATGCAAAAAAAAGATGAAAAAGAGAGACTAAAAATGAATGCAAAAAGAAGAAGAAAAAGAAAGACTAAAAAGGAATGCAATAAGAAGAAAAAGAGAGACTAAAAATGAATGCAAAAAAAAAAAAAAGAGACTAAAAATGAATGCAAAAGAAGAAGAAAAAAGAGAGACTAAAAGGAATGCAAAAAGAAGAAGAAAAAGAGAGACTAAAAATGAATGCAAAAAGAAGAAGAAAAAGAGAGACTAAAAAGGAATGCAAAAAGAAGAAAAAGAGAGACTAAAAAGGAATGCAAAAAGAAGATGAAAAAGAGAGACTGAAAATGAATGCAAAAAGAAGATGAAAAAGAGAGACTAAAAAGGAATGCAAAAAGAAGATGAAAAAGAGAGACTAAAAATGAATGCAAAAAGAAGAAGAAAAAGAAAGACTAAAAATGAATAGAAGAGGAAGAAAAAGAGTAACTCAAAAATGAATGCAAGAAGAAAAAGAAGAAGCAGATAATTCTTTAGAGGAAGGAGAAGGAAGAAAAGAGGAAAATAATAGGAGGGAATGAGAGGATGTAAGAGAAAATAATAAGGGGGGAGGTGGGGTAGAGGAGTAGGAAGAGGAGGAGATGCGGATAATATTGTTTAGCCAAACAAGTATGAAAAAAAGAAAGCAAAATATAAAATGTGGACAGACAATATCACCCTTATTATTGTCACACACCTTAACACACAATAGCGTACACCCTGTGGGTACACGCACGTACAGATGCACTTACAGACTGTAATAACAACACAATTGTTAATTCAATAAATGCTTCAATATATATTATGTGCATTCATGTACACACGATGGGATGCTGAAAAGTTCTCAGCCAGACTAAGAAAATCATCCTTTCAAAAATTTAATGTTTGGTTATTTGGTTGGATTTTGGGGAAAATTGGTGGGGCCGAGAACTTTCTAACACCCGCTCATATAATTTCCACTATAAAGTGTAAATGCTTTCATGTATAAACGTTTATGAGTGTGTACACTTGGGCGCTTCATACAAGAGGGGTAATAATTGTTGTAGGGGATTTTTCTCAGTGCGTACCCTCCTCCTTTCAAACACACACGAATAAATCTCGAAACACAATGCAAATTACTAAAGAAAAAAAAACTGTATTTAATTTACTTAAGAAATTGTCGATGAGGGGAGGGGAGGTACGTATGTTAATCAGGGTCCACATATGTAAATATTTATTTAAAATTTGAAATCTGATTTAAGATTGATGTAAGCGTTATGTAATATTAATATTTTAACTCGCTTTTCTTTGATTTTATTTCTGTTGCTTTTTAAAGCAACTTTTGTATTCTTGCTAGGAGCCTTTATATCCGATCCAGACAGCCGACCTGACTTAAAGACCGTAGAATTTGGACGCTTGGAATTTACGATATGATGCAACAGAAATAAAATGAAAGGAAAAAAAGAATAAATTAATAATATTTCAAAATCTTACATTTAATGTTTTCTAAAGCAAATCTAAAATGTATGTTGTTCCATTTATATATATTTAAATCAGATTTAAATCAATTAACCATTAACAAATTTTGATTAAAACTACAATAAGATGAAATATACGCATGCATTACTTCCTTACTATCTATCTATCTATCTATCTATCTATCTATTGAGCGATCATTAAATCTATATACAAAAATTATTTTTTTTTTCAAATATTATAAAGGGAGATATTTACTAATCCTCGATTAGTATGGAAAAATAAATAATTATACGATGATCTATGAGACTGGAACTATAAAGAATTTACTAGATGAGCTTAGTATGCTATAAATACACAAGTATAGGATACGTATCGTGTATATATATATATATATATATATATATATATATATATATATATATATATATATATATATAAAGGATTAATGTTCACCGTTGAAAAATAAACATTTCAAGTGTAAATTATTTTATCATTAAGTTATGATCGTATTAATATGCCTATAATAGATAGATAGATAGATAGATAGATAGATAGATAGATAGATAGATAGTGATTAACATTCACCATAGAATTATGTGCATTGACAAAGAATTTGTGGAAAGATAAATATTTGTAGTGTAAATACGTTTATTACCATATCAATGTCACATATTATAAATAGATAGATAGATAGATATATAGATAAGGATTAATGTTCACCGTTGAAAAATAAAAAGTGTAAATTATTTTATCATTAAGTTATGATCATATTAATATACCGATAATAGATACAAAGATACGAACAGATCAGAATAGATAGATAGATAGATAGATAGATAGATAGATAGATAGATAGATAGATAGATAGATAGATGGTGGAAATTATTGTCAT